AGGAATGTTGTGAGGGATGGGCTTCAGTAGACTGGCCTGAGCCCCTAGTAAAGAATTTTACATCACTGAAAGCCAGAGTGTCCAATTAAGATCTGCCAGTGTCTCTCTGCCAATTGCCAAAGTCTAACGTCTGTCTGATGAACCAACCATTCACTTGACACCCTAACAGTGAAGATAGTGGGCTAATTTGAAACCGCAGTGACAATATATAACACCAAACCTCCCAATACCTGTTGCAAAGCCACCATGTCGTCTTGTCTGAATGTCCGTTAAGCTCAGCAGGAGAAGTCTGAGGTCTGGAGTCATGAACCAGGTCAGCCCACACTCCGAGACTGTTTAGGAGGATAATGGGTCAAAACAATTGTTGATGAGGGACCCACCTATTGAAGAATAGTAGACTCCTGCTGTGCATGCTTCCACTGTGGATTTCTGTGCCATCTTCACAATGAAGGATGGCTACTGTGTATCACTGTGTCTTTGGGAATGTTGTGTTGTGATGCCCCAATCTCTTCCACAGTACGATTCTTGTACCCTTAAACATTTTTATTTTATAATTTTTAAACCACCCATACTAGGGGGAGGGGGGGGGGGCCTAAGGAAGCCTAGCAATCAAGGATCCGGAAATTATTAACTACATTTGTTAACTCTAAGCCAAAGAGCTGCACTTCTGTTTTTAACAGCTGATTAATGATCAGGTAACAGTCCCCAAGCTAGCAATGGATACATTGCAGCAAACCTCCATTATAAAGACAGAACAATTGCTTTCTATCAGGATATAGTAATATATAGTTGAATAGTTGTGTTTTCTGCCATCTGCTTCTGATAGGTTCAGTATTCTTAGAGGTACCTTCTCTGGTGTCACTGCTAAGCACACTCATGTTAAATCAGCTGAAGATTTGTATACTCCCTTTTAAACATTCACAAATTATAATTTATGATAAATATATTTTTTTTAAAGAAAAAAAAGGGGGAGGGGGATAAGATGGGAGAAAATCCTTTTCCACATCTTCAGGCATATTCAGTATATAGAGCTAGACCTATCTTTTACAGACCAGTCGGCACTTGATGGGAGATGTGGTCAGCATCACGCCAGCTACCTTTATTTCCCAGGACTGTACCTGGTACCCATTTAATTCACATAAATAAGCAGAGGGGAAACCCTTGAGGCTGTAGCAACATTATATATATAATAAACAAACAGACAATGTATTGATCAGCCCTCATAGAAAGAAGAAGAAAGATAGGACACACTAGACAACATAAAAATTGAAATCTAATAAATGTAGACAGTCATGGTTCACCTTCTGATAGGATTATCACAATCAGGTCAGGGATTCCTGTCAATTCCAAGCCATCTGCATATCCATTTCCTTAAATACCACATTTCCCTTCCTATCAAGCTCACTAGCCATCAATACAATAACTAATGTTCTTATTAAAAAAAACCCAGTGAAGACAGCTGTTTTGAGCTGCCATGAAATCCGCTAAAGCAACTACTAACTAATGTAGACTGTCAGCTATTTAAAATGTACATTGTTAACCAAAATAAGAGCCCATTTTATAATTAATCGCCATGTTCAATCCACATGTGCTTGTCTTATGGTAATAAGTGATGCACGAGTTGCTCTAGAAAATGCGTGGCTATAAAGGTTAGGCCATACAAAAATAACATAAAATATTCTTTAAAGTAAGTGTGCTTCTTTATCCCATATGCAAAGTTTGGTAGAATTCTCACTAGCCATTTAATTTTACTGGGCTGATATTCTAGTCACTTTAATTGCTATTTTTACATTTGGGAAGGGGGGGGGGGATATACCTTAAAGTATAATATTATTCACAAATATGGTCCGAGTTATTTCAGCTTCCGAGATATTGATGCTGTTTATGAGTTAGTTTTCTTACTAGTATTATAGATCTAGCAGTATGTGGTTTTCTTAATTTTTTTTTTTTTTTTAAAATTCTAACAATGCTAATATAATAGCATTTGAGCTAAAAAGCCCAATTTCTTCTTTAGTGGCTGTGAAATAGTCCATACTCGCATCGATATGATCTCAAAGGAAAGATGCAAAAGATTGAAATGTTGAATCTTTTTACTGGTGCCGGCTCTTGAACTGTCTAATATCTGCCCCGCTATGGTCAGTCTCAGTCGAATGCCTTAAAACAGTCCCAATTTTTAGGTGACATGTTGTTTTATCTCTGGACATTATTCTTCACTTTTTAAAATGAAGATAAAGATTTTAATCATCATGTGCCTTAATGAACAGGGTTAACTCTTTTATTCTCTGGCATTTACTGTCTGAGAGGAGGACCATATACATTTATACTAAAGTATAAATCAACAATTCAGAGTCTGTTTACCATTTCAGAAGAAAAAAAAATCAGAAAACCAATATCTCAGATTTGTAATCAAACATCTTTTAAACATTTCTTTTATAAAACTCAAAACACTGGGAAATATGTTTGACAGAACTGTGTACAATTACTATAGTTATTTCAATTAAACATTCTGGGTGCATACAATTTTTTTTAAAACTATACCTAAAGAAGTATACACTGACAAGAAAAAGAGGGACACAGGGGACACAAATTATAAAGCCATGCAGGAAGTCAGTGCCTGGAAAAGCATAAGTATACAGTTAGTAAGCAAATATGTGATTCAGATAACATGAACTCTTTCAGTATCAGGGAACACACATTGCATCCATAGGTTACTCTTTATATCAAGCACATTTATGTTCTCTTTCAGTTTCATTCTTCTGTTATGTTAACCCATCCTATGACAAGTATTACTATAACTCCTTTTGTCTTCAAGCTGTATTTTTCAATTCTGTGGAACTAAAATATTGTTGCTCAAAGGTACAAAAACATAAACACAGACAGTGTTGAAGTCACAAGAACCTGGGACTGAACCAGTCAAACAAGTGAATGTCTACCAAAAGATTCAATGTTCTCCACAAAATAATCACAATACACTAGGAAAAAATCATTTGTACTAAAAGGTGAACTAAAAGGAAATGTTTTAATTAGTTTGAAACAACAGACATGTGAACTGTTAAATTATAAATGTGAGTGAGGTGAAATAATCTGGAGATGCAGTGCAAGATCATCAACAATGGATTTAGATACAGTTATAATGAAAACTAAGTAGGGAGGTCAAAATGAAGCTTGGGAAAAACAACAGGTTAGGGAGAAAACAACCAAAAAGGTAAACACAGAGCCCATTAAGCAGCTACATGTACAGAATGAAGAAATGAATGACATAAAGATAGCATAGAAACTGCACAGTGACTCTAAATACACTCACTGAATATGAGATCACAAAAACAAAAGACTTCATTTAAAAAAAGGGAAAACTGGACAGATATTTTCCAAATCTAAAAGGTAAATGAAGAAAGGATCCAACAAACTTATTATTGCAACAGAAAAAGATGACAAGCAACTAACTGAATCCTTTGTTCTTTAAGAAAGATAGAAAGATAAACAAACAGTGATCATTTCAAAATGCCAGTAGTATGATAATGATACACCACACACACACACGTGTGCACACACACACACACACACACACACACACACACACACACACACACACACACACACACACACACACACATATATATATATATATATATATATATATATATATATATATATATATATATATATATATATATATATATATATATATATAGACATAAACTGAAGAAAAACTGTATAAATGTTCAATAACAAAGAGAAAACATAAGTTGACTGCAATGAAACTAATTCAAAAGAATCATTACAAGAACCAGATAACTGTTGGCCCAAACATGGAAATACTTTCTATACACAACAGAGTACATATAATAGAAGCATGCATAAGAAAATGCCCTTACAACATATGTGCCTGCACATAAGAACAACAATGATGAAAAGAGTGCTTACAACTGATACTTGAAGATGAAATTATGCCAGACAGAACAAAATAAATGCAAATTTTTTTCTGGTAAATTTCCAAACAATTTGCTTTATTCTACAATTTTACAAATAATATAAAATTAGGTCTCACAGAGCACAGCATTCACAGTTGTAAATTATTTTTTTACACAACAGCTCACATGTGCCAGCAAATGTCATTTAAAATAATAATGTAGACATACTCTCACTGATACTGACAAAGGTGAAAACTCATGCTGGAAATAATACACACACTCTGAGTGCAGCCAGCACTGTTGTACAGCAGTTATCTAATCAAATCAGATATGTTTTGGATATGTGATCAGTGTTCCCACAGAAAAAATGCAAAAATGCCAATGCAGCTTCAAATGTCATGGTTAGTCCCAACTTTATGTAGCAAGGCTAGTGTGTTCATTGACATACAAGTCCGATTGTCTGAGGATTCAGAAACTGTGATCATTTACAAGAAACAATCGATGAATGTTTTCATTAATAAAGTCAGAATTTTGTGTGTGTGTGTAAACTCACAATGGAGAAAACACCTTTTGAAAGCAACCTCTGCAGCATTTACATTTGAAATTAGCAACAAGACTGTTTAAATGAATGTTCTGTACTCTTGTGGTACTTGACATTATCACAAATTAACTCGCAAAGTCACCACAATAATTCTTAACCACATTATCCTAATTTAACTGTTTGGCACAAAACTCTTCAATAATATCACAAACTGTTTTTCCAGTCTCCACTCTTTGAAACTGAAAACTGTAATTTTTTGTTGAAAAAATGTTTTATGTGTTTTATTTTTACTCACAAATGGAGACAGTCACTAGTCTGGAATTTTAGCATGGCTAATAATGACAAATTCAGACATGTAATCTCACAGAGACATTTCCTAATGCATAGTTTTTCAGTGCAGTCCTGTTTATCAATTCCTAGAATGTAATATCATTACATAATACTGCTATCGAATCTTCTGTCTCTTAATCTCTCTTGGAGTATTTGCACAGCTGAGATTCATTGGTCACTGGAGAATGTTTCAACAGTAGAAACTGACAACAATGCAACTAGGGCACTTCTGCCACAAACCTGATATTGTTACAATCATCGGAAAGCTCAGGGTACTGGTCAGGCTGGTGAATGTAGTCTGCCACATAGCCTGTCACTCTTCCAACTGCCAGGATCTGATGCATTTCTGCATCAGACCAATGATATAATGATGGCAGACTATGCTGCAGCAAGTGCTTTTCCCTAGCCCATGCATGAGCAACAGCTCTATCTTTTGCATGGCGAAGGACTCTTCTAATCTCACGATCCAAAGTAGTACCGTAGCGAATATTCAGCACCGTATGGTTTCCATGAATTCTAACATCCACTTCTCGATGAGAGAGGCCAAATCCATGACCATGTTGACTGCGATGAACAGACACATTGATTCCAGACTCATAAGTGACCAGGTCACTGTGTATGCCCAGCTCTCGCAGATCATCCACAGCTTGCTGTGCACTTGGCTTTACAAAATAGTGCACATCTTTCCCCAGGATAGTAAAATGAACAGGTAGAATCTGTGATGAGTTGAGGAGTACAGTGGCTAGATTCTTGGCCCATGACTGTGCCACATCCACGATGTTAACAACTGTCTTACCATCAAAGTCTGAAATAGTCACACCATGACCAAAGACTGAGTCTAGAGGAGCAGGCTTTTCTTCAGGCAGACTTTGAAGAGGGGTCACCTATAGTGGGAATAATTTAAAACAATATACATGTACATATTCTCTATAGCATTAAGTGGTTAAAGTACTGCCAGAGAAATCAAATATTTATTAGTCTGTTTTAGTGAAACAGTCTCAGATTACATTATTTACACAAACTAAAATTATCAAATTAACAGAAATTGTAAAATATCATCCATATATTTTACTATAGATGTCTACATCTGTCAGTGACACACAGTGATACAACATATATGTCAAATCACTAATAATAAAAGGCTACCACCGTGACCACACATCCACCAATTCTCATCATTTGATGAAGATTTTTTTAGCCAAAGACACGATTTCTGTGGCTGTCAGCTCCATACACTTGTGGCATGGCTCCCTGTGACTTCTGGTTGTTATCATAGAGGAAATTGTTGCTAAGTGTGGCCTTATTTGAGTAACCAAAAAACCCTTTATGCACAACTTGACAACCTTAGCTAAACTCCATTCCCCAAAATTCCTTCTTAAAATTCTTACAACAATAGTAGGGCCCTTATGAGATGTAAGTGAGATGAAGAGGATTAGAATTTCAGACGTCTAAGAAAGTAACTAAAGGCAGGGTAGAAGTGTAGTTAAAATTAATCAGGGAATATCTAAACCATTCACAGTTATATCTGGCACAAGACATGGATGTGTTTTATCACCATTGCTGTTTATCACCTACACTGACTATATATGCAAGGATGCAAAGCCTAGGAACAAAAATATAAGTAAGATCAAGGAATTACTCTTCGCTGATGACCAGGCCTTGATAGCAGACACAGCTATGCAAATGCAACAACATTTAAAATCTATGAATAAAGAATGCAAAACAAATAAAATGAGAATCAACACTGAAAAGACAGAAGTAATGTAGTAAGAAAGAAACAGAATATAAATATAGCAGTACAGTGCAAGGCATTAAACAAGCATTTGAGTTTGAATATCTGGGGACAGCATTCATCGATGATAGTACACTGGATGAAGAAATGAACGTTGGATACAGTAAAGCAGACCAAGTACTGAGACAGCTAGCTTCCCTTTTCTCACACAAAACAATCCAGATCAGCGCAAAGAAACATCTCAGACAAAGTATATTTATTCTCACCTTATGCTACCAGTACCAGACATGGTTGCTCACAGCAACAACAAAAAATAAAAATTAGGGATCTTAGAAATGAGATGTCTGAGAAGGGCTGCAGGAGTGACCAGAAGAGATAAAATCAGTATTGAGGTTATAAAAGAAAAAGTTAAACAGCTTTCTTGTTGCCCAGCTTCATGAAAAGGGTTACAAGATAAATTTCAGAATTGTCTGAGTAGGATAAGCAGCAAGGGAGGGAACTGGGCACCCTAGCTCATGTTGTGATATAGAATGTGTGAAAGTCCAGCACTGCACACCTCAACCACTGTCTCTGATGAAGACTACCTATATTTTGACCTTTAATCGACATAAGTTAGATTATTTATATTTTGTCCAAGTGTTTTCATGTATCAATGCCTGTTTACCTCTCTCTCTGAAATTATTATTTAAATTGTTTTGAATATGAATTATAATGTTATTTTAGGTTCTTAGTTGTTTATTACCTTTGACTGTGGCACTGTGGATATGGCCAGAAGATTATGCATGTCTCTGCGGAATGTGCATTCAAAGGCTGATGCTGCCGGCAGGAGCTGCAGATCAGGGTCTTGAGGGTCTGCATTGAGATCTCCTGTGTAGGTAACATCAGGTGCCATCGAGCGCACATCATAGCCTAGGACATTCAACCAGTCTGACAGACCTGACAAAAATCATGTATATTCAAATTATATATTGAAATATATTTTAACATGTGAAAACTGACTTGTATTGAAAAAATCAAGGATATAAGACAGAATCAAGATAAAGAAACATACACAAATGTTCAGTAATATAAAACACAAAGCAAACATATAAAAAAAAAACAATAAATAAGGATGAACAAAATTACCAAAGAACTGTTAAAAAATAACAAGATATAATCAAGAAAAACCACAACACTAGGCCACAACCTGGTAACAGAGGGAGGACAAAAGAAGAAGCAGAAGAAGAATCAAGATAAAGACATTAAAATGAACTGTGAAAAACAAATGTAAAACTCATTCAGGATAAAAACTTGCTTTAAACAACAACAAAAAACTGTCTAATAAATATAAGAGACTTCTTCTTCATGTTCATTGGCTACAAACTCTGGCAGAAAGTTCTGGCTGTGTGTCCACTTCTGGACTTTGGTCTTGTTCCAAAACTTCAGTTTAGCCTGCACACGTTTTACAGATCTGGCTTACTGGTATGTGGACTGCTAGCTCTTTGCCTTTCAGGCAGACTAACTCAAGCTTCCAAGGAAAACCTCTAATTAGTCACCTTCTATTACATGCTAGCTACGGAGGCAGTGCCTCTTTTACTTTTTCTTCCTTTAACGGGGCCCCGGAACACACAAGGGCATAATAAGATACAATGGGCCCCAGAACACACATGGGCATTATAAGATACAATGGGCCCCAGAACACACATGGGCATTATAAGATACAATGGGCCCCAGAACACACATGGGCATTATAAGATACAATGGGCCCCGGAACACACATGGGCATTATAAGATACAATGGGCCCCAGAACACACATAGGCATTATAAGATACAATGGGCCCACGAACACACATGGGCATTATAAGATACAATGGGCCCACGAACACACATGGGCATTATAAGATACAATGGGCCCACGAACACACATGGGCATTATAAGATACAATGGGCCCATGAACACACATGGGCATTATAAGATACAATGGGCCCGGGGCCCGGTTCACACAGGGGCATTATAAGATACAATGGGCCCCGAAACACACATGGGCATTATAAGATACAATGGGCCCACGAACACACATGGGCATTATAAGATACAATGGGCCCACAAACACACAAGGGCATTATAAGATACAATGGGCCCACGAACACACAAGGGCATTATAAGATACAATGGGCCCCGGAACACACAAGGGCATTATAAGATACAATGGGCCCCGGAACACACAAGGGCATTATAAGATATAATGGGCCCACGAACACACATGGGCATTATAAGATACAATGGGCCCCGGAACACACAAGGGCATTATAAGATATAATGGGCCCACGAACACACAAGGGCATTATAAGATACAATGGGCCCCGGAACACACAAGGGCATTATAAGATACAATGGGCCCACGAACACACATGGGCATTATAAGATACAATGGGCCCACGAACACACAAGGGCATTATAAGATACAATAGGCCCCAAAACACACATGGGCATTATAAGATACAATGGGCCCCGGAACACACATGGACATTATAAGATACAATAGGCCCTAAAACACACATAGGCATTATAAGATACAATGGGCCCCGGAACACACATGGGCATTAGAAAATACAATAAGGATTTAAATGTTTTCTTTCTTAATTTAAAAAAATGAAGATTAAAATTGTATTCATTCATTCAGTAGCATGTCCCTCGCGGAACCTCGCTGCCATAACAACCCTCCGGAAAACCTTCCTATCCTGAGCAAGATGTCCTGCGTCTGATACACCCATCTGGAGATCATCTGCCACATCCTGCACCCATCTTCTCCTTGGCCTTCCTCTTCCTCTCTTCCCAGGCATATACCCCTCCATTATTGTTCTCTCTAGACTTACATGACGTTTCAAGTGACCAAAATATTTCAATTTTCTTTGTTTTATTGTCTTTACTAGCCAACCCTCTTCAATATTCAGCTCTTGAAGTATGGATGCATTTGTTCTTTTCTTTACCCAAGATATTCTTAGAACCTGTCTGTAACATTTATATTCAAATGCATTTATGCGCTGTTCCGCTTGTTTAGTAAGTAAAATATGTATACACTTCAATAATCTGCAAGATTTAAATATGTAAACACAATAATCTATTCAAGAATACAAGACATAATCAGGATACAGAAGAACACACGTTTGGTTTGGTATGGCACAGGTAAAACTTACTCATGCGAGGATACTGCTGATTCTGCAGGTGAGAATTGACCAAAAATCGATGCCCATATAAGTTTAGGATCTCAGGGTCTTCAGCAACTGTTTTAAGTTTTTTGAATACATTAGCATAATCTGGGGTCAGAAAACGTCCCAGGTTGGCATCGTAAACTCGATCTGCAAAGTGAACAAGCTGTGTAACAGGGTTGTATAAACCACCTTGAAATCCAAAAGCAAGGTCAAAGTCTGGGTCAGAATCTGACTCTTTGACTCCTAGCGGATTATACGTCACATGCTTGACAATGTTGCCATCTTTATCAAATACAACTATTGGGCTCTGAGTAGGATCCACAACTATATAATAGAGACGGCCACTTCTCTGCAGGCCTACCAAAGTGCCTTCAGTATCACGCAGATACTGTGTTAACTCTCCAGTTGTGTGATTATACACATAAGTTATGGTGTTCTTTGTTCTCATGTCACCATAAAAGAACTGAAGTATACGACCATATCTGTCTCTCTGAACTGACAAGCGACCTAAGGCATCATAGAAATATGAGAACTTGAATAAGCCATGACGAGAAACTGATATCAGCTGTCCGGCTGAATTAAAAGTGACATGATCCAAACCACGCTGGGCCATGAGACCGTCACTGTCAAACTTGTAACTAACCCCTCCCATCATTGTTATTTTATCTCCGACATCGAACTCCATGTGCCTGGTTGTGCCTTGTGAGGTAATCTTGTGAATGTTGCCGTCAGCATCATAGCCAAACTCCCAAGCCGTCTTTCCCTGCAGAAGAACATCAGTCACATGACTGTCTACATCATAGATATACTCCACAGCAACTTCTTTTAACTTGTCTACCTTTCTTTTCCACTCATGAACTCGACCAATTTTGTCATAATCTATATGCAAGTCAAATTTGACTTCTCCACTAAATTTAACCGTGACATCCATTAATCGACCATATCCATCAAACTCTCTAGTCATGATTATGTGGCCATCACGAAACAGTTGCTTGGCTTCTGTCAACCACTCAACATTGATTCCTGCAATGTGTGACATCTTCCCATTGTCATTGCTGTATGATCTGTTGGAAAGGCTGCTGATGTTGTTGGACAGATTCAACATAGTTTCCACCTGACGGAAGTTGTTGTCATAGCTGAACTTGAAACTGGCACCCACAAGGCTGGCATCCTGTGGGAATGTGACTGATGAATCATGCACCAAAGAGCTGAGGTAGCCAAATGTCAGTTTATTGGCATAACCTCGAGCCACCAATGATGCCTGAGACAAATGCAGTACCTCCTTATGGTATGTCAATTCAATCAATGTCTGGTCAAACATGGTAAGTGACCTTTGGCCCATGTCATTGTAACGATGCACCACACGCCTCTGTTCACTCGGATAAATCACCTGGACGAAAATAATCAATAGAATAATTAGCAAACATTTACAAGAGAACAGAGAAATATCTTTACAAAAAATGGATACTACTCAAATACTGACTAATAAAAGAATTTCAGACTGCAACGGCATAGTTACAAACACAGTAAATAAACCAATGTATGCACATTTAAAATTCTATAATATAACAAAACATGTTTACATTTCATTATTTAATGTTGTGTATGCTGGTTCTACAGCAAGTATAAATGTTCAAATGTGGGGATTTTCTTCATCAGTCATCAAGATCACCTGCCTACTAACATGGATTCTTAATCACCAACCAGTAGCACTAGTTTGTGTTCAGCGTGTCTCACTACATCCTCTAGCACTGTCCTTAGTGTGGGAATCTCATATTCTCACTACATCCTCTAGCATTGTCCTTAGTGTGGGAATCTCATATTCTCACTACATCCTCTAGCACTGTCCTTAGTGTGGGAATGTCATATTCTCACTACATCCTCTAGCACTGTCCTTAGTGTGGGAATCTCATATTCTCACTACATCCTCTAGCACTGTCCTTAGTCTGGGAATCTCATATTCTCACTACATCCTCTAGCACTGTCCTTAGTGTGGGAATGTCATATTCTCACTACATCCTCTAGCACTGTCCTTAGTGTGGGAATGTCATATTCTCACTACATCCTCTAGCACTGTCCTTAGTGTGGGAATCTCATATTTTTCCAGTGTGTTTACCAGACTGGGTCTGAGGTAACAAGGTAGAACAGTTTATCTAATTATGTGAAACATTTTTTTTCTCTACTTTCTCTACGAGTGCCACTCAATACATTGCATATTTGTTTCCCTTCTGTTAATTCTTTAAAAATAGGTCACTTCATTGTTGACTACACCAAACTTGTTAAACCAATGAAATAAATCTGGTAACTGAAATCTCTTAGCTGAACAGGAAAGACAACAATTAAGCGATGTGTGAAAACCTAAGTAGTAGCAGTATTTATATCACTAATATTCTGTTGCACTGTGGGTTATAGTCAAGAAGCAAATAAACGATTTCTATGCGACTGGAACATTGAACATATGGTATGCTGCTAGACATATATATTTTTATATATCCCCATCTCTGCCATCTTCTGTCTACTTAAGCTAAGGATATTTAACCAATTCTCCAACATCAATTAAAATACACAATACTCAAAAATGACAAAACAGTGTATTTAGGAACTGACACCTACCTGTAGCAGTTTTCCCATGGCATCAAAATCCTCAATGTAAGGCAGGGAGAAACCTGGCGCCCTGTACAAAAACCTTCTCATTCCTAAGGTAAGCAGTGTGTTGAAGTGATGGTGCCCAAGGAATGGTGTCATGACACTCTGAAGATTGCCTTGTTTATCATGTTTAAACAGGTACTGCTTACCACTGGGCAGGAAAATATCTGTAGGCTGAACAACAAGAGAGCACAATGAAACAGCTAACACCGAAGATATCACAATGATATCACTAACACAGAAAATATCACAATGATACCACTAACACAAAAGATATCACAATGATACCACTAACACAGAAAATATCACAATGATACCACTAACACAAAAGATATCACAATGATACCACTAACACAACAGATATCACAATGATACCACTAGCACTGAAGATATCACAATGAAATAACTAACACAGAAGCTATCACAATGAAATAACTAACACAGAAAATATCACAATGAAATAACTAACACCGAAGATATCACGATGATACCACTAACACAGAAAATATCACAATGATACCACTAACACAGAAAATATCACAATGATACCACTAACACAAAAGATATCACAATGATACCGCTAGCACTGAAGATATCACAATGAAATAACTAACACAGAAGCTATCACAATGAAACAACTAACACAGAAAATATCACAATGAAATAACTAACACAGAAGATATCACAATGAAACAATTAACATCAAAGATATCACAATGAAACAACTAACATAGAAGATATCACAATGATACCACTAACACTGAGGATATCACAATGAAACAACTAACACAGAAGACATTACAATGAAACAAATAACACAGAACATATCACAATGAAATAACTAACACAGAAGATATCACGATGAAACAACACCGAAGATATCACAATGAAACAACACCGAAGACATCACAATGAAACAACTAACACAGAAAATATCACAATGAAACAACTAACACAGAAGATATCACAATAAAACAGCTAACACAGCAGATATCATGATGAAACAACTAACACCGAAGATATCACAATGAAACAACTAACACAGAAGACATCACAATGAAACAACTAACACAGAAGATATCACAATGAAACAACAACTAACACAGAAGATACCACAATGATACCACTAACACAGAAGATATCACAATGATACCACTAACACCGAGGATATCACAATGAAACAATTAACACCAAAGATATCACAATGAAACAACTAACATAGAAGACATCACAATGAAACAACTAACACAGAAGATATCATAATGAAATAACTAACACAGAAGATTTCACAATGAAATAACTAACATAGAAGATATCACAATGATACCACTAACACAGAAGATATCACAATGATACCACTAACACCGAGGATATCACAATGAAACAACTAACACCAAAGATATCACAATGAAACAACTAACATAGAAGATATCACAAGGATACCACTAACACTGAGGATATCACAATAAAACCACTAACACAGAAGATATCACAATGAAAGAACTAACACAGAAGATACCACAATGAAACAACTAACACAGAAGATACCATAATGAAATAAATAACACAGAAGATACCACAATGAAACAACTAACACAGAAGATATCACAATGAAATAACTAACACAGAAGATATCACAATAAAACAACTAACACAGAAGACATCACAATGAAATAACTAACACAGAAGATATCGCAATGAAACAACTAACACAGAAGACATCACAATGAAACAACTAACACAGAAGATATCACAATGAAATAATTAACACAGAAGATATCACAATGAAACAGCTAACACAGAAGATATCACAATGTAACAACTAACACAGAAGATATCACAATGAAACAACTAACACAGAAGATATCACAATGAAACAACTAACACAGAAGATATCACAATGAAACAACTAACACAGAAGATATCACAATGAAACAGCTAACACAGAAGATATCACAATGCTTATATCTTTTTACCCCGAAAGCCAAACAAGCAGATTCTGTATTGGGACTATGCTTTATTTTTACACCAGGTATAGAATAGTTTTTCCGAGCTACTGAAGATGACCAGTCTTTGTTATAGTGTAATACTATACAAGCAAGAACGACAAGCAAAATAAAATATCTGACTTACTTTTCTAGAATGATTGCGGTAGAAGTATCTAAATTGTTTTCCTCCAGGTTTGAGTGTTCTCTGTTTGATCAGACCCGGATCCTTGTATTCCCGCTGCTCTATAAGATCTCCATACTGCCACTCCAGTATGTCACCATAACTGTTGTAGGTGACATTCATAGAGTGATGAGATGAAGCAGGGATAAACTGTATTGGCAAGCCAGCAGAACTGTACACCACAGTGATGATATCATGTAGACTTTTGTCCAAGACAGTCTCTGTGTGGCTGCGTCTGTCGTACTCAACAGTCAGCAGATTCTCACCATTAATCTTCCAGAAAGGAGAAGAAACAAACAAGCAAACATCAGGCCTTTTTGTTAAAACAAAAGCTAACAAATATATTAGTATTATCTGGTCGCATTGTTAATACACAGCTGTATGAAAACTTGCAATGAAGACAGAGGCATTAAATTTATACAAAAATTAGAATCTGAGAAACGTATTTAAAAACAGGTACATTATTATATAGGAATTTATAATATACTCAGTATTTTAACTAAATCAGCAGATATATGAATATTTGGTCAATGCACTGCTTCTGCTAAAGGCTTTCCATCCATCTGGTACATTTAGAACACAACAGAGCTTTCTATTACAATGTAAGCATATTTTGGTAAAACAAACTACAGTAATCTGAATGTAATGTTCTTATTCAAACTCAATAGTCCTAGACACTTAAAACTTGTTCTGATACTTTACCAAAGATGATCTGTCATGTTTCACTATAATCACCTACAAAAGATGACCTATCTGTTATGTTCCAGACAACAACATTCATCCATGCACCGCTTAACATAAGGAACACTTCTAAAAATTTTTTTTTCCTTATATGTATGAATAGTTTGCATCTACAAATATTATATTATTGTTCCCCTTCTTTGATCTGAAGCCTGTTATTGAAACATCTGCTTCTCTGTGTGATTGTTTGCCAACTTGCTAAACATGCCACAGAAAATTTCTCACAGATAATCAACCTTCATGCTTTGTGTAAGATCGGCTGGTACAGTTTACACTGCCTTTTTGTTGTTGTTGTTTTGGTTAAAATACGACTTAAAGTATTTCAATCTTCTTTTTTATTGATTCATTTGCTTGCCCTGACATGATTTTTAATCATTATACAGACTATACTCTCTTTATACTTTAGTGTATTCTTACTTAGTGATCACCATCTACTTTACTTTAGCAAAATAGATTTGTGAAAACAATACTGATCATTTCATTGCTCTTGCTTTCTATTAAGTGCATTTTAATTAGGGGGAGAGGGGGGGGGGGAGGGTTTGTCCCTGGCTGGTGAACTGGATAGCAGCTATCCTGCATTTACATTTGGTTGTCCTCTGCCGGGGTATATGGACCTAAGAACCATGCAATCTCTCTCTGGGACTACCCCAGGGTTCAGCAGTTTCACAAGGGCTCTTCAATGTGTATACAAGCAAGACTGCAGACATTGAATCACCAGGGGTAGAAAGAATACTGAAATTTGCAGATGATGTTATTGCATATAGGCAGGGGGTGGTAGGCAACAGACAGCACAAGAGGCAACTGTGGACAAAGTGACTGACCTGTGTGCAGAAATGGGTGCCGTTTATGATACTCTCTGGACAATAGAAATGTAAGAGCTGATGACCCAAGCTTCACAAATAATGATAGAAATATTAAAAGAGGAAGCAAATCGAGGTACCTAGCATCATTTTTGCCAAAAGCATGTCTTCAGAGAACATGTGAAGGCAGTTGCGGTGAAATGCCAAAGAAGATAAATGTTAATGTACTGAAGATTATGGTAGCAATGGACATGGAACAAAGAAGGCTGTTCACAGCATTTGATCATCTCTATGATAAATTATGGACTTGAAATATTTATGGTATCAAAGAGTCAGCTGATGAAACTTGAAGACATACAGAATGAAGCCATGAGGGTAATTCTGGGATGTACAAGAGATACCTTGGTTGTAAGTATGCGATATATAATTGCACTGCTGACTATTACAGATAGGTTCAAAGTGCTGCAAGCAAAGTCATATATCAGAGTAGCCGCAGTGTTGGGAAATGAACATGCAGATAGACTGGCCTGTTCTGCAGCACTTGGTGGTGAACTGATGCATGACAAGCTAGATGTTGTAAGGGTCCTTTGGGAGCCAGTGAACACTGTGGAGGCAGAAATAGATCTTCACGGTCTGAGGAGAATGGTGCAGCGAGGAGTGACCAAGGGATGAAGCTGATGCTCGACACTCAAGGGAAAGGTGAGACAGATATACAACCATTCTGTTACTGGCACTATCGGAAATGGAACTCTGCAATTACTGCTGAAGATGGGAATGAAGCACTTATGGGAATCTTCTGAGTACTGTGATGTCGATTCTTTATCCAACATTCTATGAAGTGCTTTATTTAACTATATTCTGGCTTGGTAGGATAAATAAATTATGATTATTAACATGTTTCTCTTAGTTATCCTTCCGTCTGCTCTAAATAATTTACTAATATTGTTTCCATTATTTCTCATGACACATGACAAATGTGACTTTGTTAATGCTAAGAAACACTTCTGGTTTTAAAAGTGTGGTCCAAAATGTGTGATAAATATTGAAGTATAAATAAACGCTAATATTTCAACTACATAACTGTTACAGAATTGCATGCTCAGTCTGTCAGGTGGCAAGGAAGAAACATCTATACATGACAGTGATATCATTTGATGCTTTGTACACAGGGTGAATGGAGGAGTGGCTGTGAATCAGATATCAATTAAATGTGTACACACAAAAAAGGAACTGGTCTGTTTTGACAAAACAATCAGCACAACCAGAGATGGTCAAGTTGGGCTTCACTGTACCTGTTAGTTACTACAAACTAAAGATGTATGCATGATGCAGGCTCCTTCATAAGTGAAATAAGGACAAACTGTTAGAATGATTTTAATACTAACCATTCATACACAGGCTGCAAAACATAGTCTACATAAGGGGTGTATACAATTGAGAGAGACCTTCTAGATACTGTGTGGGATTATACCTAGGGTAATTGTTCAAGCTTAAATAGTATCATCTATTTATAATTTAAACTTGAGGCCACAGGAACACTACATAAGAAAAGTATTGTTGCAAAAAGAATTCAGATATTATGATGGCAACTAGCAGCACTTAAGGAAAACAACATTTTCATAACTCTTGTCAAACCTTTCAGACAGGATGCTGGTCTTAGTTCTTTCTCCCACTCTAAATTCTGTATGATTTATTTCCACATGCAATGGTTTCTTTGCTTACTTAATTTCAGGTCTGGGTTTTTCATGCTAACCTTTACAGCTTATCTGTCAGTGCAGTTCTTAATATACATAATATTGCTGTTTTTGTTACTGTTTTTACTGTGCCTGTTCCATTAAATATAGTACTGGGCTGCAGCAATTTACAACCAGCAGCTTAGAGCTGTCTGCTGTTCATCTCAGCATCTATAAGTTGGTTTATCTCCTTGTTATTCCAGATATGTAAATATGTGATGAGATTTTTCTCTCAACATAAACATCAGCATATATAAGTTGGTTTATCTCCTTGTTATTCCAGACATGTAAATATGTGATGAGATTTTTCTCTCAAAATAAACATCAGCATCTATAAGTTGGTTTATCTCCTTGTTATTCCAGACATGTAAATATGTGATGAGATTTTTCTCTCAACATAAACATCAGCATATATAAGTTGGTTTATCTCCTTGTTATTCCAGACATGTAAATATGTGATGAGATTTTTCTCTCAAAATAAACATCAGCATCTATAAGTTGGTTTATCTCCTTGTTATTCCAGACATGTAAATATGTGATGAGATTTTTCTCTCAACATAAACATCAGCATCTATAAGTTTGCTTATCTCCTTGTTATTCCAGACATCTCCATGGGTGATGAGATTTGTCCCTTAACATCAGCATCTATAAGTTGGTTTATCTCCGTGTTATTCCAGACATCTCCATAGGTGATGAGATTTGTCCCTCAACATCAACATCAGCATCTATAGGTTGGTGTATCTCCTTGTTATTCCAGACATCTCCATAGGTGATGAGATTTGTCCCTTAACATCAGCATCTATAGGTTGGCTTATCTCCGTGTTATTCCAGACATCTCCATAGGTGATGAGATTTGTCCCTTAACATCAGCATCTATAAGTTGGCTTATCTCCTTGTTATTCCAGACATCTCCATAGGTGATGAGATTTGTCCCTTAACATCAGCATCTATAAGTCTGGTCATCTCCTTGTTATTCCAGACATCTCCATCGGTGATGAGATTTGTCCCTTAACATCAACATCAGCATCTATAAGTTGGCTTATTTCCGTGTTATTCCAGACATTTCCAAAGGTGATGAGATTTGTCCCTTAACATCAGCATCTATAAGTTGGCTTATCTCCTTGTTATTCCAGACATCTCCATAGGTGATGAGATTTGTCCCTCAACATCAACATCAGTATCTATAGGTTGGTTTATCTCCTTGTTATTCCAGACATCTCCATAGGTGATGAGATTTGTCCCTTAACATCAACATCTATAAGTTGGTTTATCTCCTTGTTATTCCAGACATGTCCATAGGTGATGAGATTTGTCCCTCAACATCAGCATCTATAAGTCTGGTCATCTCCTTGTTATTCCAGACATGTAAATATGTGATGAGATTTGTCCCTCAACATCAACATCATCATTCCAGGGTTAATTTTGTCAGTTTTATGCTGGCTGACAAGATTTCTCATGGCTGGTGTACCTCTCAAGCCTGGCTGTGCCAGTTCTCACATTCTTAACAACAGCGTTATCCCTAAAATCCTCAGATGATCTGCTAAGGGCACTGACAAGATCAACGTAAACGGCTGACAGAATATGATGGTCAGGTCTATGAAAGCATTACCATATGTGGCCATTTGCTGCTGATAGTTTATGCAATCTAAGCATGGCTATGTTACTGTAGAGTGAAAACCTGGCTAGAAATGGACTAAATACAGAAAAAGAGCTGTTGATGAACTTGCAGAGATTTAGTCTAAATGCACCAAATGATCACAATAGGAATTAATGTATAATTAAAGATCACACTAGAGAACTGGCTTCATTTCAAAGTACTATAATTGTTAATTATTAATATGGAACAATTAAATTGGAAAAACTCTAGACAATAGTAGATCAACCAGACACCAATTCAAGAGGTTGCTTGAACATTCAAGGTATTCATGGAAAAGTCTAGTGAATCAATGAAGAATGTAGTGAAAATGCTTAGTGATTTAAAGTAAAATCATTTACAGCTACATCTTTAACACAACTGGAGGAGCATCTGGCATTAGTTTGCAGTCTGAGTAAATTGTACTACAATAATTGGCTTTATTTTTACTACAATAATTGGTTTTATTTTTACTACATTAATTGGTTTTATTTTTACTACAATAATTGGTTTTATTTTTACTACAATAATTGGTTTTATTTTTACTACAATAATTGGTTTTATTTTTACTACAATAATTGGTTTTATTTTTACTACAATCTTGTCAGCAGCTTTAGGTTTTTAAGTGCATAAATGGTTATGACAACGTTTTAATCAATCAGTCAGGAACCATCTCCGCAATTAAAGTTGGCTGCAATGGATTTCCAACATGCTCTGTCTTTCAATAAAGATGTACTCTCTCAGACTGCTGTTCATTGATTTCTTGATGTTATCCTCCCTCCTGTATTTCTGTCTGCCTCTTGCTCATCTGCCTTGAACTTTTTCCTTCAGTATGGTTTTATTAACTCTTTGAGTACCAGGGAACCCACCATACACTAATTTGTCACAACTGCCACGCCCAATTGACACATGACAAGTGAAGGTTTTTAATTTACCGCTGACCAGTAATAAAACGTGGACCGCTCAATTTCCACTTCCTTTCAAATTCTTTGTATCTGATATCATGCGTGCTAATTTAAAAACGTGGTCTGAGAGCCGAAAATAAAGTATATTTGCGAGATTTATCGGGTTACTAAGCATTTGTTTGAAAAGAATATGGCCACCAAGCAGTATTCTACAGGTATGCCAACATTATTTATGGCTTTAGAAGCCTCAATTTAAAATAAAGTACGTGTTTATTTGATTTATCCTAAGTCAGATAGATAACGTTGTGAATTATATGTATTTCAGTCATTTATAAAGTCACACTTTGAAGAGGGATATGTCTAATGTGTACCTAACGCGAAGGTACAATGATTGCAAAGTCAGCTGGCACAAATAGAATAAACATTAGTGAAAATACAATTTTCTTCAGTGTCAGTTAGTTCTAGTGCTATTCTCCTTATTTTGTAATTTTTTATATTTCATTTTAATAATGTTTGTAAACATACTGTCTGTTTATGTACTAATATTTAATTACTAACACAATTACTTGTTGTAGCTAAATTCTAGAATTATTCCTCAACTTTTCCTGGTCACTTTGATGTATGATATGTGTATGTTGCGCAGCAAATGAACTAGTATGGTCTGTTTTAATGTCTCACACTTGTGAATTAAAAAAATTGCATTGCCACTCCTTTGGCCTCTGATGCTAAACCCCCTGGGACTCAAAGAGTTAAGAGTGTTAAGTCTTTTAATATGGCTGAAATATTTCACTTATCTCTTGTTTATATCCAACAGCCACTTCCTTATCATTTCTAGTCTTTTTAGACCCTCTGTATTTGACTGTTTTTGTTTCCATGAAATATGACCTATTATTCTATTTACCCGCATCTCTGGAGAATCAAAACAATTTCCTAATTGCTTTGACACTGTGCAGGCCTCGGCACCATACAGCAGGGTTGAGGATACATTAGCAGTTCTCATTTGTAGTGTTGTTTTTCTCTCTAGATGTCAATAATTATTACACACCAATCTGACATGTGTTATGTCCGGTAGCTCCTGCTCTCATTCTGCGTGTCATCAACGCATCTTAGATTCTTTCATCATGTTCCCATTGATCTTCAGTCCGGGCTACTCCAACCTTCTTCTTCTTCAAAATCTCTATTTCTGATGAGTAAATGCTGTCATATCTAACTGTTGCCACTTGTTCCCAGTATTGGTTACTCGTAAGTATGATATAATTTCCATTTAATCCTATTTCTTGGAGTCATGCAAACAGCTGTTCCTGAGTTTGTGTACATAAGCATATCTGTATACAAAATGGGACTAAAAAGCCTTTAATCTTATGACCCTGAGAAGTCAGTTTATCTGTATAGGTGTACACCACTCATGCCTTTATGTACTTGTTTAACAGTGTTAGACACCCATGTCCCAATGCAACTTTGACAGCAGTAAAAAGGCTGATTATATTTGCTCTGAAATTACTATAAGAGAACATTTGTATAGCCACCAAAGTAAATTATTCAAATGCAACTGTTTTCCAATTTTTGCAAACTCTACAGGGGAACCATTACTGCTGAGCAAAAGAAGTGATACTTTTTTGTTGTTCTGAACCCGTTTGTTCATTTTTAAGATTTTCCATATTCATATGTCTGTGGCCTCTCTTGCCAGGTAGTTCATTAGTTATTGAAATCATTTTTTTATTCTTTTTTTGGAATATTTAGTGCAACATGTTTTAGCAGCTTTCCGAGCTGGACATTTATCTATGGCAGTTCTGGATGCATACATCCAATTGTATTTACAAAATGGCAGTTTCTGGACGCATACATCTGCTTGTATGTACAAAATGGCAATTCTGGAAGCATATATCTGCTTGTATGTACAAAATGGCAATTCTGGAAGCATATATCTGCTTGTATGTACAAAATGGCAATTCTGGAAGCATATATCTGCTTGTATGTACAAAATGGCAATTCTGGAAGCATATATCCGCTTGTATGTACAAAATAATTATGTCTGCTTAAGGTTGGAACCTGCTTACAATAATTTTTTTTAAAGTTCTTTCTTCAGTAACCATGTTTGAAGTCACCATGACAATACATATGTCTAATTGTCAACACAGCTGCTTTACCTATTTGGCTGCAAAAATATGTGAAGAAAAAATGTGTTTTGGCTGCTTTAACCATTGGATTAACATTATCAACATATCATATCTACATTGCTAGTTTGCAATCAGTAGTGTCACCACTTGCTAAACAGGCACTGAAATGGAAAACAAATAGATTTAGAAAATGAGGACACCTAAGAGAAACCCTAAGACAAACCCTGCTGAGAGAGGCCAAAGGCTCTAGACTGGATTCTATCCATGATATCAACAGAATCACATAGAACAGAACCAAGATGGAGGACTAGACTGCAAACCGAATGTGGTGTATAATGGCACAATAAGATCATGAGGATGATATATAAATAAACAGACAAGTTGTTAAAGGCTGCTGCATGTCTTAAGCCAGAACAAGCTAGAACATTCATGCTGTCGAAATAAGCTCCACAATGTTTATCAGATATAATGAAACAATTAATTACAATAGAGAGCTCTTATTTCAGCTGTATCTTGTTCTTACACACATTCTCTCTCTTTCTCCCCCCCCCCCCCCTTTTTTCTCTCTCTCCATGTTGTGGTGCTTCTGGATAAAACTAGTAGATTAATGCTGAGTTTATACTATCATCAAGAAATCTGGTACCAGCATTAGACATTGCAGATTTACTGGTGGATACTTCAATCCACATGGCAGAATTCTAAATCATTGCATACATATCATGCTGACAGTAAGCAGCAGTAACAAACTGAACAGCCACAATAATTCCTTAACACCAACATCACAAGTGTTTACCTGTAAATTAGTATGTCTGTAAGTAAATGTTTGCATGAGTGATTTTCTTGTTTTTAATGATGTTTTTAGACCCTATGTGATATGCTAGTAAAATTAATACATTTCATTTGGAAATGCTAAAATATGGCTGTTAAGCTGAAATAAGTGCGTTAGACCAAATGGATATTGGAGGGCAGCATCAAACATACCATCAGGGCTTTATCTCTGCCCTCTCCTCCTAGAGAATCATGCACAACATGCTGTCGACCCAGGTCCCCTACCCGCATACGTTGACCAAGTTTCTCAATTACTCTGGATGCTCGTACACGACCACCACGTCGCAAGTAGAATCTCCATTCTAAGCGATGAACGGATGAACCAGGCACAATAATTTTCCGTTTGTAGTGCATACGGTTTTCACTTTCCATTACAGGATGGCTTCCAGTTTCTGTTGCAACTGTAAGGTTGCTAGGAAACAGAACAACAACTGCACCGTCTGGTAAGTAGGTTACTTTTGTTTGTGTTGAACCTATTTAGAAGTAAACCAAAAGTATACATCAGTACAATGAAACATGACTGATCTCTACGTCATATTCTCTTTACAGTATAATAAACATAGATTTTATTCACTGATCAAGTAAGTTAAGTTATTAACATATCTGGCATATTAATTTGAAATACAAATGTCATAATAAAAAAACACTATAAAATATATGATTTTTATATTTTATGGTCTTTTATTATATCAACATTTGTATTAATAGAACTGAGGCAGATAATATATGATAGAAGTACTAAACAAGAGAGAAAATAATATAACTACATGAAAATTTACAGCTTTTCAAAGTACAGAAGAAACTAATCAATAAAATGACAAAAAATAGTAAAAGAATTTTAGAAATTACAGAAAGCAGTATAATAGAAATGAACGTAGTTGTTCATGAAACACTGATCAAAGATTTAAGTTACAATATCAATACAATTTACATAACCTCTCAGCAGTATGGAAACATTCATTTACAATAAGCTGCTTTATCTTTTTAATTTTTGACTGCTACATGCTACATGACATCACTGAAAGCGGAATGCCACCATAACTATCTAGACAACCAACTTAATAAAAGACAAACATACATACACAAGTACACAACATCAAAATAACAAAACTATTTCTTAAAGATGGGCTTGTTAGCAAAGAAAAAAAGTAATTTATGTTGTTGGAACTAATAACTGTAACATATTAAATTATTCTGTTAAAGAGTAGTTTTTGTTAAGGTAACTGATTATTAAGCCAGTGACAAACAGCATTTCATAAACTGATAGAATCATACTACTAATGCTAATGTAAGTGATATTGAATAAAATTAAAATATTTCTAACTAAAAATGTTACCTTAGGAGCGGCAATATGGCTTGTTTAATAGCTGAGGGTGCTAGCAGTGTGTAGGAAACCGTGATTAGTTTGGAAACAGGTGCACAGAGTGCAAAAACAGCAATGCAGGATGTTAAGATAAAATCAAAGTTATGGAAGAATAACAGGTTTAAATAACGTGACAGCCAAATTTAACTGATTTAACTGTGATTTTGATGTAGCAACAAAGGGAAATGTTTGTTCTTTAATTTCACTTACTGATGACAACCAAACACAGGCAGACAAGAAATATTTTCCTAATTTGGTACTCATTACATCATATCCTTCCATGGCTGATCCACGTGTATGATTCTTCACAGTTCAAGTAACTGTTCTGATTATTTGTGAAATTATTTGCCATCTAAGTCCTAGCCTAAAAATTATAAAATTAAATGTTAATTACTGGACTAATATATGCTGTTAAACAATTTTCTTTTGTCTACAAAATCTGTATATTTAAGTAGTTAGATACCCTAATAACAGCAGAAGGAAGATATATTAAAGAAGTTTAATTTAAAATTGGTGAGTAAAAGCAGCATAAAGAGTATTATATGCAATCTATCTTGTGCCATTTTAAGATCTATTTAGTGTAGTTCTGATATGCAGAAGTGAATCATGGAATATCAGTTAATTAGTGAAAATTATTTAGAAGCTGTGGAAATATGGTTGTGTTGAAGAATGATGAAAATACTATGGATAGACAGAAAGCATAATAAAGATGCCCCACAAGAAATTAGTTGAAGGAGAACTGATTAACTTCATCAAAAGCTGACAAATTAGTCTTCAGGTACGTCATAAATTTGGACAAATAGAAGTATGTCGTGACAACAGGAAAGTTGGAGAAGAGAGACAGAGGGAGATCAAAAGAGATCTTAATCTGGTGTCATAACTTGCAAGAATACCTGTATCAGATACAAGATACAGAAGTTTACAGATAGAGATGATTGCCAATGTTCAAGGGTATGGACTGTGTGACAAATGCATATGTGTTTTAATATTGTAACTGTATGCTTAAAATGTAGTATAAATATATAAATGGTTATTGGAGAAATATTGCATGACTACATTTTTCTGGTCAATGATGAACAAGGCCAGCTTCAGCTGACCTTGACATTTGCTGACGTAGAATGTTGCCAGGAAACTGCAAGCAGATTAAACAACTCCTGCATGCAAGCAGTGTTTTTGCTTTTAAAAATCTAGTAATAATTATAAGAATATAATATAGGTGAATTGCTTTGGCTCACATTTATAAATATGAACACGATAATAATAGTTCTTGTTTATGTATTTTGGCAGCTTGACATGAATGCATTGCTTGCAAGTGATTAACAAACTGATAGAAGACTAGTGAATTCAAGCTGTCTGTGTGAAACTTAGACTGTGCCATGATGAAGAAACTATTGCTTGTGAGGAAAATATACACTTTAAATTAAATGCAAGCAAAAATTAAAAACTTCACACAGAACACACATATGTGCAAGAAAGTGCACCAAACAAAATGGTGGTTGTTAAAAGCTGCAAATGTAAATGTATGCAAAAGAGTAGTAGTACTTTTTATGTGAGGAGGAAATTCAATTTCAGAAATACCAATTTTTTCATATGAATAAAACCTTATGCTACTGAATGTCCTCTATATTATCCCCTTTTGAAACACGATTAGACCATCATAATGCAATTAAGACATTTATTCTTTCTTTAATCTGCAAAAACATGTGAATCCTTTAGTCAAGTACAGTTATTATGAAAATCTCTTTTGAAAATGATAAATTCCCATGTCATAAATAGAGTAGAATTAGAATTTTACTGAAAAGCAAGTTAACTGAAGAGGTCACACCACAGACTACATAACCTAAGAAATATGATTTCATGCTGTTAGTTGTCTTCAAATTCTTCACTCCATACATCCTGTGTTTTAGACTTTACTGCTTCATTTTGTTAGGGGACTAGCTCTGCCAACATGTGGCTCTGATCGACAAGTAGCCTATAACCTTTATTAAAATAAGTCAGCACAATTCTAGCCTATAATGCTTGCAAACTGCATATAGTAGACAACGCTAATTTAAAGGGCAAATCAGTCTGTAAAATAAATTACATGACAAAAAGGTGTATTTCATTGCTTAGAGTCCATCTCATATGGCATTGGTCAGCATGTCTGTCCACAGTCTTGACTCACAGGTACTGCCAATTAGTCTAGGCTCAGATGTTTTTCCTCATCTATCATGTTTACAGACTACCTTTTTGCTTGGTCTCCCACTCTCTCTTTCTCTCTCCAACTCCTCCGGTTCTCTAATTCTCATGATGTGCTCAAGGAATATAAATAGTCTTTTAATTCAACCAGATATCTTAATTACATGATTTAATCTGTCTAACCCCCCCCCCCCCCCCCCCCCCCCCCAACACTTCGATGAGGTACAAGGTGGAAGAGAAGAAGAATAAGAATCTGTCTATCATACCATCACCAATCATCTATGAAACCAAATCATGGCATCAACCAAATAAATTCTCACTTATTTCCTTAATGCCTGTGATCCCCCCCCCCCCCCCCCCCCCCCCCCCCCCCACCCCCCCCCCCCCCCCACCCCCCCCCCCCCCCCCCCCCATTTTTAGCATTAGGGTAAGCTCTATAATCATTATCATCATACATCCATTCCCTACAATCTTTTAACTTTCAGTGTGGGATGAAATCTAGTCTAGAATCTTCAGTCTCTAATTAATATTTATCTTAGAATTTTTCTTGGGCTTCCTCATTTTCCAGTCTACCTTTTTCCCCATTAAAGTGCCAATTTTGACTCTATATAATACCCTTACAAAATATCTTTCTCACCTCAGTACAACAAACTACAGAAGGTGTAAACTGTTAATACTGTCAAGACTAACACTGGGATAACTGTAAGAACATACCAAAGGTCTTTCATAATTGCATACCTGTTCAATTAATCTGACATTTACTTTAAAAACGTATTTTAGATTACTCTGTATAGTTCTGAGAAATTTGTCCATATATACTTTCAATGACTTCACATGAAAAAAACTTATTTAACGTAAGGTCTGTTTATGTGTAGTTCCTACATTGTTAAATGTATGAAAATATAGTAGTGTATTTAAGGAAAAAGAAAATGCATATATTTGCTGTAGTCAATGTAAAATAAAGATAAAATATAAATCTATCATACCCTTAAAATGCAGTGTGCAACCTGTAAAGCCAGGGAAAAGATATCAAAGCCAACACTACACCAAAATATCTGACATACAAAAGGTGAGTATGCATGGATGAATATATTAGTATGTCTAAGTGCACAACAGTTACACTGTATTCTATACTTAGCTGGAAGTATCTTATTTAGTATGGTCAATTACAACTGACAACATTAAACATATGAATATAGAGCAATTTATGTTTGTTACAGCATGTCTCACTTACTGTACTTTACCACTGAATAATTAATACTGACTATAAGTCATCTCTGTAAGACTAAACAATTTATCAAGTAAAGATTACATTACTGAGTTATCAATTTAAACTAAATATTTATCATTTGCTTCCTGCTTACTTTTGCCAGCCTTAACCTAGGAATGAATTAGCATCTACTTTAATGAGAAAGAATAATTGCGATAAATACAACATTATGTGGGTTTCGTTGTTGTTGTTTTTTTAATGCTAGTGAAATAAATATGATGAGGATGGTCATGGTAATAAAAAAAAAAAAATATATATATGGTCTAATACATTTAGCAAGAAAAGACATTTAAACTACTAAAATTTTGTGTCCGACTTTTGACCAAATATTATATAAAGATGTATGTGTGTGGATTTGTGTGTGTGTGTGTGTGTGTGTGGGCGCGCGCAGATTAACTTAGAACACAAGTTTCACCTGTTAGTTTGTTCATTGGTTAAAGTAGGTACATGTGACCAAAATAAATAATGAATTATCTTCTTAATGTATCTACCCTTAATGTTTGTGAATTATGTACTAAAATAAAGTTTGTGGTCTGTTTTAAAAACTGAAATTAACATGAGAATTATAGTATAATCATAATAAAAACAGGATAGAAAAAGTGTGGTTATATGTATAATTTTGAGGACAAAAGTAGGGTAGAAAAACAGAGAGCTTAAAAATTTGTACACACACAAATTTGTAAGTTTGTTATTTTTTTCAATTCATGAACTCTGCTAAAATTGTTTAAAACTATAGAACTGGGTATGTAAAAAAGTTCTTATCAGTTATATCAAGAAAAATCTTAATGCTGATTCTGGTTTTAAGAGCTGCTCTTATTATTAGAAATATTACTGCAGAACAAACTCATAATAATTGTAATCTGCTAGATATTAGCTAGACTAACTCATGTCATATTTGTGTGTGTACAAGAATAATAAAAGTGTAAAAATAGGTGGCTTAGCAAGCAACTTGCCATGCATAACTGATTGCACGCTCCCGTAGGTAGCCATGGCGCTCACATGGCGCGTACCAGTAGCCACACGAACGATAGAACCTGTTGTGTTGATGTCAGTTGTCAGAGTAGTGATCTGGCCTGTAGGCTGGCGAATGGTCAACAACCGGCCAGTGTCGTCATAGTGATACAGGAACGTCTGACCACCACTGTCTTGTTTGGACTCAAGTAGTCCTGTGTTCACTGTGTAGGTGAAGGTTGCAGATGAGTTGTCAGAGGCTAGAAACTTGTGCAGCCTGTGTCGATTGTCCATGACTAAAACACACTGTTCATTTGTTGGAGAAAGCACTTCCTTGGCCTGTGCCTGATAATCCCTTTTAATCTGGATTTTATTCTGAGATGCATCTTCAACTGTGATTAAACGCCCGTAGGAGGAGAACACATTATAAGTAAAGTTATAAACATACTGCCCAGTATGAATGTTGATTGTGTGACGGTGTTGCCCATACATATTGAAAACATATAGTTCTTGAGTCTCTGGGGCCACTACTTCATAGTGACGATCATTCAAAACAGGCAGCTCAGAAACAACTGAAAATACACGCAGGTTTCCCATGTCTGCCAAATGAAGGACTCCATCAGGAGTGACAGTGACAGATGTGGGATCACTGAACAAGGCCTGGGCTGCGAGGGTTTCTTGGGGATTGAAGCAGGCACACTTTTCCTGAAATCAACAATTGAACAGACTGTATAACATTACTGTCAACGCAGAGGAAGAAAGAGATATAGACAATGAGGAAGAGGAGAGAGGGAGGTTAACAGAGAGAAAATAACTGCAAATATTACTTCTTAGTTGTGTGTATTATCATTATCATTAAGAAGCAAATCTTGAGCTGAATATTGCTCTCATCACAGCCTTCAAGAAAGTCTTGATCCTTTATCAGTTCTCCTACTATACTTTATCAGTTCTCCTGCTAAATGTTTCTCATGTTCAGGGGTCTATAAATGTACTAGCCCATGCTTTTATGTTGCTCATTCTGTTGTGTTGTGTTGGCTAGCTAGCCATTTAAAAATGTCTTTTTAAACTTCTGTGATGTTTTTATACATCACTTTTTGAGATAAGAGGTTGTCATTTTCTGAGACTATATCTGGTACAATGTCTTCTTGATTCACCATATTTCTAAGAACTCTTCTATAACATCAGGTGTGTTTTTTTAAAATCAATGTTTGTGAAATGGATTATGTATGTAACTCTAGCTCCCATATACATCAGTTCATTATTATAATTACAGCACAAATGGCATTGACGATCATGCTCCTCTACATCTTATCATCTCTGGCAGCATGTGTTAAATCCTGAGCTGGCACCTACCTAGGCCATAACTAAAAGCTATCAAGAATCTTCACTCACTATCTTCTTTTATTTCATCTTCAATAAATCACATGAACTACACATAAAATAATTACAAAAAGCCATTAAACATATTTTTTTGTTTTTCAGTCTTAGGTACAATAAATCAATGAAATGTAAACAGAAGAAAAAAAAATCAAACCTGTCTGCAGTCACATTTGCTTTTTGCTCCAGCAAAGTGATGAATGCGGCCATCGGTACTGACCACCCGGACTCTATTGATGTGGTGAGTATCACTTTCTACAATGTACAGATCTCCATGAGGTCCAAAAGTGATGCATTTTGGAGACACAAGAGTCACATGGTCGGCCACACTTGATGCCTGCTCATCATCAGTGAGAACTCCACTTGGAAGGAAAGAGGAGTGGCGTGGTGGACAATATACTGGGCGTCCTGCTACAGTGACCAGTTTGAAATCACTTGTGAGCTTTAAAACAATGGAGTGATCAAGAATATGAAGGGAGTCATCTAGTGGATTGATGCTCAAAGATGTTGGCCACTTCAGGGATACCTAAAAAAAGAGACAGCGAAACAAGTGTCAGAAACAGGTTTACAGATCTGATATGTATGTCAGCTGAACAAAACAAACAGAACATTTTAAAATGTAACAAGTATATAAACAGTAAGTGAGGAGAAAATAATTACAAAATTGCCTTCTATGCTAGTAAAACTTATGTCATCTTCATAGACCACAATTTGACTTCTTTAGGAGATAACATTGCTGAAATTATGCTAATCACAATGCTGTTTGATCAAGTTTTTCATTGTTTACCAATAATGGTATGTAAACTGGTTCATTGGTGAATTTTCTGACACTAAAAAATGAGATAATTATTAGACAATATAAATCATCTAGAATATCCAAATGAACTTGTTCTGATCTAATTCACCTAACCATTTGCTTTAAGATTTTTAGGGCTTCATTTTAAAGTAACAAAACAGTACAGCTACAATCATGCCAGTGATTTTTGAGACACTCATTTCAAGAAGCAGCTACATCTTTGTACAATTCTACGGATGGCAGTGACTTCATTACCCTCTCGGCTGACAAAATATCATCGCATGGCATGGGAGTCCACTCTCGGGGCTGGGCCTGGGTGCCAATGAGTGTTGTGATGAGACCATCTGGGGTTATCTTCCTTATATTAGGACCATCAGCAACATAGATAATTCCATCCTTGTTGATAGCAATACCTGAAAAGAGAACACACATTTTTTCCAATGTTAACACACACATACAATTTAGCATTTAAAGTCCATGTGTTTAAATGCATACATATGCCCTCGTGTGGGCCCCTACAGGTGGGAAAACAAGAATAGACCCCATGACTCCTCAACAAGCATGTTCTAAGAGTCGACTAACTGGGAAATTCCTTTAAAGTCACAGAGCATCTGCCTGAGAGGGAATGAACCAACAAGATGCATACAAATAAGTCAAATATGTAAAACAGATGTGCATGCAACACTGAGGTTCTGGAATAAGTCTAAAGTCCAGAGGTGGATGAAAAACCAGAGCTTTCCGCTGAAGTTACAGCCAGTGAATGCACAGAACAAGAAATGCATATACAACTAAATATGAGAAAGCTCAAGCATAAAAAATTATGAAAAGATATAAATCACTGAAACTGATTTGCTTACTAGCTCTGCTGATTGCCCATAATTGGCCTCCTTATGTCACCATTGGTTTTATTAAGCACTTAATGACTCTAAAATCAACATGGCCAAAATTCTTCCATAATATAATTGGAGTGGTACATCTTTCTTAATTTTAGATGGCATGATAATGTAACCTATTTACCATTAGACAGATTATTCACTGCTGAAATAGCCCTTGCATCAACTTCATAGGAAGAACACAAGCAGGACATGAGAAAAGATGGGGAAAACAGATAAAACAAATAAAACATGAAACCAGAGACAATCATAGCAGAAATAATCATGATTTACTGAAAAACATAATAGAAAATGTGGACTGGCAAACCATTTATTCTGAAAGATATAGCCACAAATTACAAAAACTTAGCATCAAGCGAACTATTCCAAATCACACAGCAGCAACCAAACTAGAGCAACATACCTTTTGGGTATCTCAGCCGTGCATTAACTGCAGGACCACCATCTCCACAAAGATCTGCCTCTCCCGGTGTACACTCTTCTCCATTTCCAGCTACAACTTCATAGTTATCTAGCAGATCAGGCACTGGTCCCATTGTCCGCACACGGATAATTTTGTGGCTCATGAAGTCTGATATATACAGCCGTCCATCAACAGGACTGACCGTCATGTAAAACTTGTATGGCGTGGTAATAGTGCTGCAAACAACCAAATTCAATTTTTTAAAAATGTTTTTAGAACATGGTGATGTTTGTATTTTTTTAAAGTTCTTTTTACTTTTTAAAAAATTTTACTTTTCCAGATCTGAAATAATAAAACTGTCACTGCTGTCTTTTACTACTTGTTGGGGCTGCGTGGACAGGGGGGCCTTGAGCCTGAGGATTTAGGGCTGCCCAGATAGTGCTGTCACCACGGACTGTGCAGGTTAGGATATTTAATTCTGACCCAACAGAAAAACTCCATCATCTTATCGGGGGCTGAACCCGGATCTCCTGCATGAAAGCCCAATGCTGTAACCACCTGGCCAGCCACTCTTCAGTTTGTAATAATAAATATCCAAAAACAATTCACTTTGTCATCCCCCAGCAAAACAACCTAGTAAGAAAATGACAAGGGGGGGGGGGGGGGGGGCGCGCACACACAAAATTCAGAATGTCTAGTGTGGTAATGTAACTACTTCACTCAATAATTTGAGTTATTATGCATATTACGCACGCCTGCATAGAGAGAGGTCTGGGAGCTGAATTAGCGCAGTTGATAGGAGGCTCGCTTTAAAATCCAGCTGCGACTCGCTGCAGCCCAGGGCCGGTGTTCGAAACCGGGCAGTTCCCGGGGTTCGACCAGTCTCTAGGAAATGGGTGCCAGAGTTGACACTCTGGGGTAAATGGAGGATTGTCCCTGTAGCTAAGGCATTGCGTGCGGACGGTAACACAGGCGGACAGTTTCTTATCAGCTGTCTGTACTGGTGGCAGAGCTCTTATGGTTTATAAACCATGTGCAATGACGCTGATTCACATCTCCCGACTTTAATTTTTTTTAAAACCTTTTATAGAGAGAGGTCCAGGTGCAATCCATGGAGGTTATAGCATACCTTCTGACAATACTGCTCTAAGGTTGATCCTAGTCTAGTGCAAATGGATTCCAGATCATTTCCATTATTTTCTGTGATTGTGTGGGTAAGAAAAGGTGGTGAAGACAGGATCATGTGGTGTGGCCTACATATGTTAAGTTCTGACACATCACAACCCAATGACAGTGTTGTTCATCCACCACAAGTGATGAAGACCACTCAGGACTGTGCCGTGCAGATAAAGAGATGCGGCTGCATCAGGTGGCACTGTAAGAGTGCAGCATAAGCTGCAGAATCGAAATACAGTTTGAACTTTTGATGAGGCAGCCCAAAGGTATTATCAGCGGCATTTCCGAGACTTGCATCACATCGAGAACATCTACTGAGACCACTTTTTCAAAATTAGTAATGATCAATGAACTCTTGGAGCAAAGATGACTGATCGGTTAAGTCTGAACCTCGACAGTTTAACAGCAGGATATCCTGTGGGATTACCTTTACTAGGTTCATGTAATTACTAAACAAAAATTGATTATGTAAAATCAGCTATCAAATGAAAATTTAAAAAAAAAAAAAAAAAGTACAAACCTCATCTGCAGGATGCTGGCAATTTCTTCTCTGTGGGGAGATAATTTACGAATGAAATTGTAGTCTCCCACATAAAGACTGCCATCTAAGCCAGATGCTAAAGCTACAGGACTCAACAATCCATTATCTAAGGCTTTTCCATTGCAAGCTTCACAATCTAGTTTTCGTCTCTGGCCAGAACCAAGGATGTTTATTATCTTCTTTGGCTTTTCCTTCAAGTAAATGTTGGTGCCATCTCCTTTATGCAAAATACCTGCCCAAGAAAAAAACAATGATTTTCAGTTTGTTTGATCAAATGGATGATAGGTAAGTTTTTAAATAAAGAGCTGTGCCGAAGAAGAGCAACATATCAAGAAGGTCATGCGAAAATTATACAATCATCATTATCATGTAGCAGGTCCTTTAAAGAATGTAATCTGTCATGTTCGGTATTGATCTCCAAATCCAAGAAAGTCAAGGCTTCAAGAGCTCATAAGTCTTTCAAGTATGAGCAGACAAACACCTTTCTTGGACGCCTTCAACAGACGGCATGTAAGTGGACCAGCAGATCTACCTTTGTGCAGCCTCTGTGGTGGACATCAGAGGTGGAAAAGGCATAGAAGTTAAAGAGAGCTGCAGTAAAGCATTTAAAAGAAAGTGCGACAGACAGTCCTCAGCTCATAGGAGGAATTGGAGTGTGCGGAAAGAGATAAGATAGGAAGGATATAATTTTTCAAGCGCTGTGTGGCAGAAGCCAAAAAAGCCAAATGGGAGCATTTTATTGATGAGACAGGGGGTGATAAGACATTGGGAAAGTTTTATAAGCTACATAGGCAAATGCTCAAGAAAGATCAGCCCAGCATAGTGGGAACAATTCGCCCATGCTCAAAATCAAAGCCACTTAGCACGATGACTTACAACAGTGCGGCACGTGTATGTACTAACAGACATGTACATGGCTTTGAGTGCACAAGTGAGGAATAATGGTCATTTATCCATCCTTTCATCTCATAATGGAGTATATTCGGTAACCCAGCTCATGCCTGTCAACTTGTAAATTGACTTATGACTGGTCAGATTTTGCAGCCAGTTTTCTGCAGGATGAGATAGCCAGTCTCACATTGACCCACCTCAGTTGTACCTTACAAGCAGGTCACAACATTATCATTCTATCCTGTCCTTATGGGACCTGCTAAAACTCAGGTGACAAATCATACAATTGAAAACAAATATGTTCAACAGTTCTGACCTTCCTGATGGTTGTATGTGTGATGAATATCCAAGTTCCAACCTCCAATGTGAGAGGCTGTCATGTCATAGCCATTCAAAGTAGCACTGCGAGTCTCCCAGTACACATGATCACAGCCCAGGTACTGATAACCAACATACACTGCAGAAATCACAACTAATTAGACAGACATAACTGTTAAAATAAGAAGCAAAAAAAAAAAAAAAAATGATATTATAATTCTTTTCCTTTACTTTCCCCTCCTGCATCCTTGTTTTGCCTTTCAGGTCAAGCAGAGATATCTTAGAAATCTTATCAATTCCTGTGTCCATAGGGTTACCATTTTCTCTGTTTCTATTGTGTCTCTTTGTCAGAAAAAAACTGTTATTTTGCTGCTTTTTCCTGGATTCTGATATTATTATTCCTAGTTTTGTGTCTGCTCATTACTGTCAGATTTTATCAGAGACATTAAATTACAATTTTTCTGATTTTTTTGTCATGCTTGTTGTTAGAGACCAAGTCTGACACCGATAATGTTGGTAAGTCTGACACCGATAATGTCAGTAAATCTGGCACGGATAATGTTGGTAAGTCTGACACCGATAATGTTGGTAAGTCTGACACCGATAAAGTTATTAAGTCTGGCACCGATAATGTTGGTAAGTCTGGCACCAATAATGTTTGGTAAGTCTGACACTGATAAACATGGTAGGATAAGTGTTTGTGTCATTTAATGCAGGTTTATTATGCAACATTAATGACATAGGTTAAAAAAAAACTACTTTGGTGCATGTTTTATCAAATTCTGCTGCTATTCTTCCATAAGAGGATTTCCCACCTACCTTAGAGAGGGTAGAACTTCGAGTAGCCATTATGGATGCCGTAAGATTTGTCTAGTGGGACTGCTTTCCATGATGCAACTTTCTGAGTTGCAGGGGTTGTTAGTGACTCATTCTTTCACAAGATATTTTCCTAGCCAAGTATTAGCTTGTTTTCATTGCTGATTTAATATGACCATCTTATTTTCTATTATTTCACTTGTAATGGTCACAATATATTTCTCATCACCGATTTCCTGCTGGTTTCTTTGGTTGCTATGCTGGAGTAATCAATGTGTTGCTGTAGCTAGTGTCTGCTATTAAATGTGCTATAATGGTTTCCTTTTAGAAGCTTACTGCTGCTATAAATACAGAATAATGAACAAAATACTCCAGTCTTACCTCTTGCAGTGACAATGCCATATACTTTCTGTTTGTATGCATTAAGTCTGTCCCAAGCAAATGTATACTTCAGGTTAGGGTCTGCTTCAAACAATTTCTTGATTTCAACTCCCTGAACAGAAACTCTCAAGTGCACTAAGGAAAGTGTGTGTGGAATTCTGCTTGGAGTCATCTGAATCATTATGAGGGACATGTAGCCAGAAGATTCTGAACTGTGATACACTAAATGGACATCTGTTCCTGGAACGTTCAAGCTTTCTTGTAAAACCTGAGAACAGTAATTAGACGTAGCATTAAGTATTTAACTGGTCAAAATGTGTACTGGTGGAAGGATGTACTGGTGGAAGAATGTACTAGTGGAAGAATGTACTGGTGGAAGAATGTACTAGTGGAAGAATATCCAGTTGGTAGCAGTTTTTGCTAGTGGAAGTATTCACTGACAGAAGCACATACTGGTGGAAGCATACACTGGTGTAAGTGTTTAGTGTTGGACAAGTTTACAAGTCGGCATATTTACTACTGGAAGTATGAACTAGCGACTGTAGGCATTTTATGGAAGTGTCCATGAGTGAAAATATGAAGAGGTGGAATATGTTCTAGTTGACAATATATATATATATATATCGCAGGCATGCATGTAAACACACAGGCACACAAACACATCAGCATTACAGACATGATAAAGGAACACTGCTTGCTTGCTTCAGTAATTTACAAGAATTCGTTTCACAATCCTTAGACAAACATTCTTGTGTGTTCTTTCATCTTCAAGTGATGCTGAATTCTAATTACTGATTGTCAATGTGACTACATTTGCCCTGCCTGTAAGTGAAATAAACTGATGCCAAATGCCAACATTGCAGAACCAAAGCATTACAATATGAGAAAGACAAGTGCTGATGATGATATCTGGATAGCAAAGGGGTAATAATAGAAAGTTTGTTTCAGTATATGTATGTAGAAGTCTAGTACTTTCCTTAATGACAATGATTATTGCCTGTCACCCTAGGGCATTGTAGAACTAACCCCAGCATGTTTGGGCTGTTTGTGATTTCCCTAGGCAATTTTTAAGTTCAGTAGTTTGCCAGTGCTCCTGAACGGTCAGCTCCCAATACCACTGTCAAAACCAATGCAAGGTGATCAGCTGCCAAATTTCCCACAGCTGGGATCAAACCTGGTGCCACAGAATTATAAAGGAAGGACATGCAACACCTACGCAACAGACTTAATGATAATTCATGGTAGCTCACTTGAGTTTGCAAGTTAACAAAAAAAGCCAAAGAATGAGAAATCAGGGTCTAATCATGACTGTATCTAATGGGTGGCCTAGCTCGCTAGCGTAGTTGGTTAAACCTGACTTCGCTGCGACTGGGTGACAAACTCCTTGGGGTCAGTGTTTACGCCCGGGAGTAGGCAGAAAAGCCACATTTCTCCCAGATTTACGGTATCTACCATGGAATCGAGGTCGAAGGGTTACAATATCCATAGTACCGAGCCAAAAAGTTAACAACTTATGGTTTCTGGATATATAAATAAAATATAATGGGTGACTGATGTAATAACTGTTATGAAGTCAATCAACTGCAGTTTTGATCTGTAATTTTAGTTTCTGATCTTTTGTATCACAGCCAAATAGTCAGTGGTATTTTTACGGTGATAACATGTGTGTTTATCAATGACAATTTTTCCCACTTTCTTCTCTCAGCTCCAAATTTATGGTTTCCTTCCCCTCCTTTCTCCTCCTTTTACATCTGTGATTCCGTATATCCAGAAGTATCAGTAACATGACAGTTGCCAACATCTGTTCTGGTCTGGCTGCTTTTCCTCCCATGTAAGAGATGTGTATGAAGGTGGAAATAAACAGTCACTCTAGTAGAGTCATCATGCCACGGAAGAAGCAAGAAACGTCTCTTAGACTATACCCTAGGGAAGTTCTGCTAACTGGTTTACTCTGCTTGCACTCCAAGTACAACTGATTAACCCCCCCCCCCCCCCCCCCCCCCCCAACCGGAAGCAGCAATTTTACAGAGAAATGTGTAAATTATATCTACTCAGCCCATTGATAGAAAAACCTTAGTAAATATCTTAGAACCAGCCAAATCTTCTGCCTTTTCATTCCCATAAACACTAGTGTGACCTAGATAACAATTCGACAAAATCAAGAGTTGGTTTTTGTATTAACCTATTAATGACAATTGTATAGATTTATATTAACAATGCTGTTTATACTGTAAAATGTCACCTGGGACTCTGGAATGATGGTGCTCCTCTTTGGACAAGCTCCCAGCTGTGTATGTTGCCAGGTACTTAGTACTACAGGTCGCAGTAGATAGTGATCATGATTGTTATCCAGGTTGGAACATGTTGTCCCTGCACTCAGCTGAGCACGGCTTTCAGTGGACATAATCACTGTATCCATGGTGATGATCTGGTTCCAAGGAACAAGTACACTGGCAGTTTGTGTCACAAAAGGATCTCTTACAAATTCAAGAGTGACAGAACCACCACCATTGACAAGGATATCAAATCTGGAAGATAGTGTATAACTCATGATTTAGCATTGTTTGAAAAAAAAAAATTTATAACACCCAAAGTGGCAAGTCCCTAACTGAAAAACAAATTTAATTAAAATTAAAATTACTTATTAGCAAGTAAAATGTGGAACCAACTAACCAGAAGTTTAGGAAGAGAAAGACCTTCAGTGAAATTACTAGATAATCTGACAACAACTAACATGACACCATAGATTGGTGGAGCTGGTCTCTGGAAATGACTGGTAGTATGAAACCAAGAGGGCTCTGGACATTCATCGGCTGCTTCCGTTTCTCATGTCTCAAGGCCAGGAGCCATGAGGGTAACAATTAAAAAAATCAGCTTGAAGAATTGGAAGACTAAATTTCGAAACTCTGAATCATTGATTCTAGAATTGTTAAATGATCTAATTTTTCACATTATTACCAGTTAACTTAAAATTAAGCTATTGGTATATTTATATTAAGCATACATTGCAACATTTGATAGAAAATATAAATTATTATAATTTGGGCAAACAAGTAAAGGATTCCTTTTTATAACATGAGGCATATTGTTTTTGAAACAGTTTCTGACCAATCCGAACTTGATGGGTTAAATGACACTGGCACCTCTACTTCCAAGAACATTTCCGGATACTCATTTTAGCTGGGTTGACCTGTAGCACAGCTGTCTTCTTCATGTCACACTCAGGTTGTCTTTAGTTTGCTACAAGAGGAGTCTATTGGAGAACACAGACGAGGAGAAAGATGGTCGTATTGATAGTAGTGATGATGATGATGTCTTGCTAGCTGCATGCTTTTCATGTCTTTGATGCTTGAAATATAAAATGTCTGGAAACAAGTGTTCTTTTCTATACTGTCTTTATTGTAATACTTCAGTAATGTCACAAATAACATCAATGATATTCTGACTGGCGCTGTGTTCGCTCTATGGCTATATAGTCGTAAGTGGTTCTAGTGTCTGTAACTGCCACCTGTTCTAGTGCTGTTTGGTACTAATGGCTTAATCGTTGACTTTAACATATCAGTAGTGTGTCTCTGTTAACCATGGATCCATGTATCTTGTGTGTTGTTTCTGTAGTTTGTTGTCTCATTTCATATCTCCTCTCAAATGTCTGTCTTCAAGGCTCAACGTGACTGGCTCCTCTTCTTCTAGTATTGAGCTGGCATCTCCACAACTGCAAGGGTCCATGTGACTAGTCACTCGTCCTCTGAGTCTCAATAGCTAAAGGATTTCTTTGAGGATCAATGTTACTATTCCCTCTTCTGTCTCATAGACTGGAGGATTACCCAAGTGGTTTCTTACCCATTATTTATACTGAGGTGCTGGAATGCAGGAAAGTTGTTTTGTACTTACTAACTGCTTTTAGAATGTTCTAGTACGGCTAAACATGTTTACTATGTGCATTCTAATGTGAGATTTTCTAATTGCGTCTAGGTTGCAAACATCTTGTTCTGCACATAAATATACTAAAAAAATTAACAGCTGTCCTCATAAAGACTTCCAGAAAGCCAGTACTACTGCGTTTACTTTGATAGGGCTGTCAGCAATAACATCATATACTATTTATAGATTAACAAATGATGATTCTAGAAAAGGAACATCAAGGTTGCCAAAACTTGTTGATTCAGATACATCATAACTTTGCGCAATATCCTACCTCCTAACAAACACGTGATGATGTCTCCCTGTTACAGACCTGGAAGTCCATGTCAGAAAGAATATCCTTGCCTTAATGAGGAACTGAGCATATGACCACCGGCCCAACAGGCAAGCAGCTAGACATAGCGTATTGCAGCTCCTTAACCGAGAACAGCTTTTTAATAACTACATTCATATTACAGTGCCAATATGATGTAATACCAATCATTTTAATATTTATGCAAAAGACTATTCATATACAAAGGAAAGGATGTTCTTAAATGAAAAAAGTACTTACAGTCCTTCCTCTCTAGTGAGAGTAAATCCATAGAGAGGCTGTGTGACCACTCCCACTCGAACACCAATTAGAGCAGTCTCATCGCGTGTCTGCACTCTTCCTCTAATCACTGATACTTGACTGTTACAAAGAATTATTGGAAGATGCCACTCATTTATTTACAACACAGTTTAGTTACTGTAAAAATTTTTTTTACCATAGATGCTCATACAGTTTTTTTTAACTAACTGACAAACAAAAAGTACAAAATTCTTTGACAGTATTTTGTCTTTTTTACAACACACACACATCAATACATATAAATGCTTTCCCTTACTATTTCCTATTATTACTACTTACAGTAGCCTTCTTCAGTATGCTCTTTACAATGTGCTGTTTTTATGTTGGTCTTCATTTCTCCAAGGTAGCTCTTGATGCAGTCATTGAAACTTTTGCAGGGTCTTCTGCTTGCTCTGTGTTTATTATATTTCTTCAGTATGGCTCTTAATGGCAGTTAGAACCAAAGCATTAACTAAAATTTATAGATAGACAACCAATCAAATGGTTTGGTCATGTAACAAGATTAGCAGCAGACAGGGCACCACAGAGAGCAATGTTATACAGATACAGCGGTAACAGACCCAGAGCTCAACCACGCAGAAGATGGACCGCAGAAATATCAGATACACTGAAAAGTAATATACATGAAGCGAACAGAAGGGCCCATTCTAGAGATCTCTTCCTCCCCTGACGCCACGAGGCATTCCGGGAGTAGAGAAAAGAAGAAGAAAAGAAGAAGTACCAAAGCTCCTTATGAATGGTCAATACATCAGAAGTGGTTATTTCTTCCAGAATCCAAAATGTCTTTGTGTAGAACTAAAACCCCTTCTGACAGACAGAAAAATACCTATGCCTACCAAAGCAAATCTCACAAGAACATTTTATAGGGGCTGACAATTTTGCTACTTGACCCTTAATAAAATAAATGTGTGGAAAATCATAACAAGAGAGATGATGTCTACGGACAGATGCTTGAGTATCTACAAGAGATACAATGACACCATTGTCAATACTCTAAATGATGTGAAGCATTTGAAAACTATCACCAGGGTCTTACAACTTGTGGAAAGAACATCACAGCAGCACCCCAATGTGGTAATGGACAGGGGGGGGTGGGGGGGGGGTGGGGGGGGGGGCTGAATGGTCTCAAGATTGCATCTGACTAGAGTGCTGGAGGTCCAGGGTTCAGACCCCGGTGAAGGTTTGGATTCTTTCATGTGGACTTCTAGTAATTTCTCCTGGTCTCTGAGTAGTAAGATTGGACGCCCATGTGTATTGTTGCATGCATGAAAAATCCCTTGGCAGTTGTAAACTGAAAAGAGTAGCTTAATGGTGCTGCTTGGGCAAAATTTGTAGTTAAAAATCTAACCAAAGTATTTCAGGATCCTTGCCAGTGCTACAGAGTTCATACACTGCACTGAGATTCTTCAGACTCACGCTTGAGTTAGAAGTAGAATGGATGCCTTTATGGGTTACTACCATTGTTCCATGATCCTGATCGGTTGCATAAACAACAAACTAATAGACAGGACACACTCAACAATGTGGCAAAGACATATTCAGGAGACTTGACTTGGAAAAATATCACCACCGCAGTGTCCTTTGTTGTTACTTTAGAGCTGGGAACTCACCCTGGATGCTTGAAAGTTCCACAGTTGTAACCACAGTAAAGACTACTTTCTATACTTCTTGTTCCCAGTATCTTCTTCTGCTTCTTCTCTTCCACCTTGTACGTCATGGAAGTGTCGGGGGGAGATTTAACATTCGTTGATGAGCTCTGTCAAGAGCACTATTAAGACTGATGTTCATTTCTGTAAGGCTGTTCTTAGTTCTTGTTCCTAGTATAGAGCACACAAATCTCAGCTGATAAAATGTTGACACACTGACCTCTCATTGAAGGAATTTCTTGGGGCATCCATCTGCACACTGTTTTCTTCAATGAGAAACCTCATCTTATCAAGGAATGAAGCTGTTGGAGCAGGTGCATTTTTTCTCAGAAGGATCTCCTTAGGGTCTGGTGAGGCCTGGCAGTACTGACTCTTGACACAGGTGGATGTTGTACAACAGTCTGGGTCTAGGCAGTCCACTAAACTGTCTGCCATGTAGAAGATCAGAGAAGATTACACATGTGTAAGTAAAGTCAAGATCCATTATTACGCCTAAGGTGCATCATCGGGTATATGGAAAGAGCGTCCCATATTTTTACAGACCAATCGGCACTGGATGGGTAATGTGGTCAGCATTACGCAGGCCCTCTTTACTTCCCCAGGACAGCCATCCTGGTACCCATTTTAGGCTGGGTCGACCCGCGACGCCCCATACTACGATAAAAATCCACGCAGCCAGCAGTGGGTTTCAATCGCGGTACGTTGGATTATGAGTCGGACTCGCAACGCCTAAGCCACGGACACCGCTCACACATGTGTTCAGTACACATAGTGGTAGTATCACATAACACATTTAGATGGAATAACATACTACATACAGAGATGGAATGACACACAACACAAAGAGATGGATGACACACAACACACAGAGATGGAATGAGATACAATACACAGAGATGGAATGAGATACAACACAAATAGATGGATTTACTTACATCATATAGAGATGTAATGGCATGCAACATACAGAGATAGAATAGCATACAACATATAGAGATGGAATGACATACAGCATACAGAGATGGAATGACACACAACACACCGTGATGATGTACAACACACACAGTTGTAATGGCATGCAACATACAGAGACAGAATGACATGCAACACACAGGGATAGAATGACATAAAAGAAACACAGAGATGGAATGACATGCACACACTATTATAGAGACATACAATATACACACTTATGAATTGACATGCAATATACTCACAAATATAGTGACAGACAACACACATATAGATTTAATGGCATAATTACACAGAGTTACAGTGACACACAATACAAGAACAGAGTTGTAGTGATATATGACACACACAGACAGATGGATGGATGGACAGACAGACAGAATTACAGACACAGGAGAGAAACAGAGAGTTGTAATGACATACAATACAAATACATATAGTGAATAAAGACACAGCTGTAGTGACATAGTCTAACAGATGCCAATCTGACTTGAATAAGATGAACAGATGAGTAGGAAACCACAAATAAATAACCTCAATTCAACATTTGCATACAACATTTAAACAAGGTCATGATATTTGATGTTGAAACAATGTGCAGTTAATAACATCAGGAATTACCAAGACATCAGATGTTCTAAATTTAGCTAATTTAAACATACCGTGGTCATTATCTAAGTTATCTGAACATGATGTTTCCATTGCCAAATCACAAGCTTCACCCTTCCAACCATCTCTGCAGTCACACCGCCAGCCTTCCTTGAACCTTCGACAGTTTCCATGATCATTGCATTCACCTGGGCAGCCATCTTTGACAAGGAAAATATAGTTAGAAATTATTTATTTACTAATATAATGTTAGAAATTATCATCCACTAGTTTATTAATTAAGCTTTTAAAACATACATTGATCAAACATGCAAGGTGGGGACAATCATGATTCACAATGAATGCATAGTATTATAAGGTTTTTGAAACTTTTGACAGTACCCAAAACTTGTACCACCATCTGCTTTTCATGCACAGCAGTAAAAATAAACATTTCTGGTGAAACTACAATTAGTGTGAGCAATCTGAGATAATATGATACAGCCTATGAAATATGGCATTCTACAGTAAGAAGCAACCAGAGGGGGTTGACATTAAACTAGCTACATGTTCCCTCAGACAACTTGAGCTTCAGACAATTTTAGCTTCAGAGTCCAACTAGTGAAGAAAAAGTCTACAAGGGATGTGGCATGTGTTGGGTGAAGTCCTCTGTTCCACTATGACATAAGGGGAGGAGGATGGAAAGGAGGAGGATGGGGGGAAAATGGAAGAAAAATGTGACAAACAAAATGAGACTGACTGTGGTAAGGATGTGATAACAGAAAGCTATATGATCACAGTTACAAACACACTTTGTGTGTAACTGTATTTATGTAAAACTGACATCTTCTTCTTCTTTCGTTCGCCTGAAATAAGTTGTCTATATCAGCAGTTTTGTCTCTTGTATAAATTTCACTGTCGTTGTTAGTTCATTCAGTGGTCCATAGAGTTTACATTCCACTGTTGTTCTTTCTGGCCAAAAGGTTTGCCTTAATGTGTCAAAATCGGTGCAGTCCTGGAGTACATGCTCTGCTGTCTGGGGCACATTTCCACAGGTGCACATGGCTGATACACCTATCTTGAATTTTGTGTACATGTGGTTACGTAATCGGTTGTGCCCTGTTCTGAGGCGGATGATAATGACTTGTTCTGGTCTGTCCATAATAAAATAGTCGTCTTGTGCTGGGGCTGATGGTTTCCTGATCGATTTAATGATTCTTTTCTTTTGGTGGTATGTGACTGGTACATGCGGCTGCTCTTTTGTCGCACCTTCACCTGCCAGTTGATCAGCTTTCTCATTTTCAGGCACTCCACAATGAGACGGTATCCACTGCATTACGACTCTTCGCTGAACGCTGAACTGACAGGTTATACCCCTTGTTGTTATTTAATTTATTGCATACTTAAACATATAACAAAAATGTCATGAAGTGACACTAAACTGGTTTTGAAAACTGCATGCATTAAGAAGATAACTGATCAGAGACAGATTGAGACTACAGGACACGGAACTGATCAGAGACAGATTGAGACTACAGGACACGGGACTGATCAGAGACAGATTGAGACTACAGGACACGGGACTGATCAGAGACAGATTGAGACTACAGGACACGGGACTGATCAGAGACAGATTGAGACTACAGGACACGGGACTGATCAGAGACAGATTGAGACTACAGGACACGGGACTGATCAGAGACAGATTGAGACTACAGGACACGGGACTGATCAGAGACAGATTGACAGATTGACTACAGGACACGGGACTGATCAGAGACAGATTGAGACTGCAGGACACGGGACTGATCAGAGACAGATTGAGACTACAGGACACGGGACTGATCAGAGACAGATTGAGACTACAGGACACGGGACTGATCAGAGACAGATTGAGACTGCAGGACACGGGACTGATCAGAGACAGATTGAGACTACAGGACACGGGACTGATCAGAGACAGATTGAGACTACAGGACATGGGACTGATCAGAGACAGATTGAGACTGCAGGACACGGGACTGATCAGAGACAGATTGAGACTACAGGACACGGGACTGATCAGAGACAGATTGAGACTACAGGACACGGGACTGATCAGAGACAGATTGAGACTACAGGACACGGGACTGATCAGAGACAGATTGAGACTACAGGACACGGGACTGATCAGAGACAGATTGAGACTACAGGACACGGGACTGATCAGAGACAGATTGAGACTACAGGACACGGAACTGATCAGAGACAGATTGAGACTACAGGACACGGGACTGATCAGAGACAGATTGAGACTACAGGACACAGGACTGATCAGAGACAGATTGAGACTACAGGACACGGAACTGATCAGAGACAGATTGAGACTACAGGACACGGAACTGATCAGAGACAGATTGAGACTACAGGACACGGGACTGATTAGAGACAGATTGAGACTACAGGACACGGAACTGATCAGAGACAGATTGAGACTACAGGACGCGGGACTGATCAGAGACAGATTGAGACTACAGGACACGGAACTGATCAGAGACAGATTGAGACTACAGGACACGGGCTGTGTAGTTAATGATATTTGTCATGTGCATGCAACATTCTCAGCAGACCAATTTTGGAAAACAACTCAAGTGAGATCTGAAAATACAAATATCAGTGAATATCACTCACTCACTCACTCACTCATTCACTCACTCACTCATTCACTCACTCACTCACTCACTCACTCACTCACTCACTCACTCACTCACTCACTCACTCACTCACTCACTCATTCACTCACTCACTCACTCATTCACTCATTCACTCACTCATTCACTCACTCACTCATTCACTCACTCACTCACTCACTCATTCACTCACTCACTCACTCACTCACTCACTCACTCATTCACTCACACACACACATGTGCGCACACACAATCACACGCATACATACACACATATAGCGAAACATTATATCTTAAGCTTTCTCAATATAATTTTCCCAACATATGCAGGTGTGTTAGGAAATGAACAGACAGATTAGCTGGTGCCACACTAGTGGGAGGAATAATAAACAACAAGCTAGACATGGTCAAGGCCCTCTGAGAGCTAGAGGAAAATGTGGAAGTGTGAATAGACACTTAAGGTGTGCACCAACACTAAACACTCAGAGAACGGGCAAGATGGACATATAATCAAACCCTAAACTGTACCACCAGAACTGGAACTCTTTACTGGCTGCTGAAGATGAGAATAGAGCGCACATGGGAAAATCGTATGTGCTGTGAAGCCAATTTTTAATTCATCTCAAGTTTCAATAAATAATGATTCCAGCCTTTTCACACACACAGGGTACAATGTTTGAGCTAGGACAAAATCCTAACTGCAGGCTGTAAAAACCAATGCACCAGGCAATAAAAAGAACCATAACTTCAAGCTTCAGCTTGCCTCATGGAAAACATAAGTGATGTAAGAAAAATGGCTATCATTGATATTGTTGGCCTATAGGAAATACATCTGCCAGATGATGGGTCCATAAGAGAAGAAAATTATACATTCTTCTGGAAAGGCAGAGGCCGGAAAGAAATCCAGAAGTATAAAGCAGGATTTGGTATCAATTCAGAGTCCAGCTGGAGGAAATAACAGAATATTATCCATATGACTGTCTACCTAAAGCAGTTTCATCACCTTTGTTACTGCATATGCAAACATTCTAACGTCAACACAGGACGCAAAGAATTCTTTTTCTGAGGAACTGGATAATACAGTGAAAGCAATTCCTAAATCTGACTTGTTGATTTTAATGCTCAAGTGGGGTTGGACTGAAAGATATTGCCAATTTGCCTTGGAAAATATAATGTTGGTCATATGAATGAAAATGGGCAAAGACTTCTAGAATTATGCACTAAAAGTGACCTGTGCATCACAAACTGCTTTTTCAAAACTAAAGACTGCCCTAAGGTGCCAAGGAAACGTCTAAGATGTGGCCACTGGTACCAGTTGAACCTTATTCTCACAAGGGGACAGGACTTGAACTATGTGTCACTAACTCGCAGCTACCACAGTGCTGACTGTGATACTGACCATTCCCTAGTTTGGATGAAATCAAAGAGAATGTTTACATCAAGAAACAAATACATCTGAAGCAAGATTCTGGTGTTGTTGCCTTGACCACAAGTGGTCTGACTATGGAGGTCAGGGCAGTGACCAAAGCAATAACATGGCTGGAGACACATTTTTCCCAGTGCATTCTTTTTGGTAGCACAATATGCCACTACTGTCTGGAAAGATGGAAAGGTGCCAATCAATCAAGTTGACTTGGGAGCCCACATTAATTTCTTTACATGGCCCGCCTTCATGCGGATGTGAGCCAGGGACAAGCAAGCTAGCCACTGCACTGTCATGACTCTCTATACAGACAGGCGTACTCCTTATATGGAGTGTTTAACAGACATTTTCAGTGATGACTAAAAGCTTTAGACTCCCACTTGCTTCTGCTTCATCATGTTTCATAACTGACAGGCTAATCCTCCCAATCGGTGTCATCTGAATTCATGAGCTTTTTTAAATGAATATTTCCATGGTGTGAGTCTTCTACTACACAGTACTAGCAAATCACATTAGTACTGTGTAATGTTAGGATTTCGTGTGTACAGACAAATAGTAGATAATATAATTTTTTTTTAATCAGTGGGCATAATGAGGCTCAGGAATAAATAAAGGTCTTGTTAAATATTTGCCAGTATTTTACTATTGACAGTGAACTGATACATAAACCACTGGGTAAGCAAAATATGGCATTATGTGCATACATGTTATTTTGCATGCAGGTGTATGAACAATTATAAAATTCAGTGATCCGAGAATTGTATATTGATACTCAACATTACTGTATAATGTATAAATGTACACAATAGTTTATAAATACTTAGAACTAGGAATATTTATATTGCACATAACTGGGAAACTTAAAAATCAGTTCCAAATCATTTTACATTCTTCTCTGTAAAATCAAGGCAAACTGCCAAATGTTTCTTTCTAATGCTTTTCCAGATTTTCTAATTTAAAAAAAAAAAAAAACATACTGCAAAAGTGGATATTAGCAACTCATAAGCTAAATATCAAACCTTCCAGTTAAGTGAAAATATTCTAGAAAACTCTTAAATATTTAGAAATTGAATATTTTTGCACTAATTTTATATATGAAAAAAAAGATGATAATGAAACCTGCCTGTTC